CCTATTATTTCTCTAGTTTCTTTCTTAACAGTTTTATTACTGCTGTATAGAATATTTATTGATTTTTTTATGTTGACATTCTATCTTGCCACTTTATCATATCTAAAATTCTAGTGAAGTGATTAGGATCTTGTAGGTCAAGGATAAAATAATCAGAAAATAATATTAGTTTGATTTCTTCCTTCTCTGTTAGTATTTAGTTTATTTCTTTTTCTTGATTTATTGGTCGGGATATAATTTCAAGTAATGTATTACACGGAAGTCATGAGGATGGGTAGTCTTGTGTCATTCCTGATTTCAGAGGAAACACTTTCAGTTTTTCCCCATTAGGAATGATGTTGATGATATTTTGAATGAAATTGCACTACATCTATATATGATTTCTCATGAAAAAGGATGAAGTTATTTTAATAGCTCATCATTCCACCCCTCCACAGACAGTGTATGCCTAAAAAGAAGTGAAACTATTAAAAAAGTATTTGTGACCTTGATCTTTTGCTTACCCTGTGTGCCTGTGTTATGTATTCTCCTCTGAAAGTAAGAATTCAAAGCCAGCAGTCTCTATAGTCAAACAAGAGCAAAATTTTCATTCAACCATCCATTATTTATTGAATTGTTTCACTCATTCATATGAAATAGGTATTGAAACTTACTATACTCCAGAATTATAAGAATTAGAGAGTAGGGAAATATGAAGTTATTTGGATATCTATATGAAGCTTCCAGAATTGTACAAAAATAAACCCTAGATATGTAACTACCAAAGCATTATGTATGTTGAAGAAAATACAGTTCTACAAGAGGATTATGGTGTCCTTAGTTTTGTCTGGAGCTTCAAGAAGGCTTCCTAGGGGCCAGGGATTTAGCTCAGTGGTTCCACCGCCTGCCTCGAAAGCACAAGGTCCTGAGTTAGATCCCCGGTACCAAAAAAAAAAAAGTCTTCCTAGAAGTGGTCACACTACACATAGGTCCATGCCTATGGCATACATGGGGTTGCCGAGGGGAAGGGAGAAATGTATTGAAGGTCGAGGTAGCTGCATGTGAGAGGGTCTTGAGGCAACAAAGAATGTGGATATGGTTAAGGATTTTTTTTAAAATCAATTTTTTTTTTTGGTATCAGGGATTGAACTTGGGTCCTGGCACTTGTGAGGCAGGTGCCAGAATCACTGAGCTAGAACCCCGGACCTAAAAATCAAATTATTTATTCTTAACAGTGTGTATGCTCAGAGACCAAGAAAAAGAAATCACGACAAGTAGAAAGAAAACAAAGGCCATGTTCAGAACCTTCTAAGACATGTTAAAAATTGTTACCTTTATTCTAATATGTTTGGAAGATTTAATGAAGGAAATATCTTTTATATATTTTTTGCCAGGGTTGTCATACGAAGAATAAATTGGAAGAGAAATAGGCAGAAGAATAAATTTGATTATAGGTTGTGTTTGTCTGTCTTATCTAAGGAAATAGAACCAATACAATATGCATTTATGTAGAAAATAAAAAAACACATGTTCAATACCTGTGTCTCTCTAAAAATGTACATAATCTATCTGTCTGTCTGTCTGTCTGTCTATCTATCACCTATTCAAAATGAATAGGGTGATTTTGAAGGATTTGTCTTACACAATACTTGTGGGAGACAAGTCCAAAATCCACAGGGCACATGAACAGATGGAAAATACTGGCAAGGGTTGATGTTGCAGTCTGGAGTCTGAAGCTAGTCTGGAAGCAGAATTCATTCCTCTTCAAGGGACCTGAAACTTGTAAGACCTTCAGTTGATTGGTTAAGGACTATCTACATTATGGAAGAAAATTGGTTTCATTCAGTGTCCATTAATTTGAAAGGTGATCAATCTTTTAAAACTCCCTTCAAAGCAGCATCTAGATTGAGGCTGAATCAAACACTTTGGTGTTAATCCCTAGGCAGGTTGACATGTAAAATTAAACAACACAGGGGTAATATTGTGAACTAAATGTAAGAAAGAATTGCTTGAAGTAGAAGTGCTAACAATGAAGGTTGGAGAAGTAGCACATAAATATTGGATTCAGAAAACACGAGACTGTGTGATTGTTGGTAGGAGTGTAGAGGGAGAAGAGAAAGAAATTACTCTTAGGTTTTTGAATCAATATGATGATTGACGATGCCGCTTTTCTGGAGAGAAATAATTTGAAGAGTGAAGAGAGAGAAGAAAGAAAAAATGAAGTAGGTGTCAGCAAATAAAGACAACTTAAGATACTCAGGGGTGAAGCAGCCTACCTTCTCTGAGCTTGCTTAGCATGATGTCATTCTGACCACAAGTCAGTCAGTCCAGGAATTTGCCCCATTCATTCCCTGAGTAGTTGAGGAACCCTGCTCATTCCTAGAAAGGAAGTCACCACCTTAGACCTGACAGGAAACTGCAGCTCAGCAAAGGGTACCTCATTCTACTCTTTCTGGAGGCCTCAAGAGTGGAATCACAGGTGAAGAAAATAGACCACAATTTTATGGGTTCATAAACCCATAACAAGAGGTAACTCAAGAAATCTATCTCCATTAATTTCACTGCCTGTTCTTTGTCATTTACTCTCAGAACATAATCATATAATTATCATGTAATTATAAGACAAGCTGCTATTAAAATGGACATTATCTTTACGATTTACAAGTATAGTAACCTCAACTTACAGTAGATAACAACTGTAATGTAGTAATGTTCTGAATGTAACATATTTCACATGATTTTATTAAATTTATTATGAACCTTTGACTCGCTATCTTTTCTGAAAACCCACCTCCAAAAATTACTAAAATAATCCACACTGGCTAATCATAATAAACACACAGATATTTCAACCAAAGACACTCGGTTTGCTTTTTATTGTTGTATCTATGGGATAGACTTACTATATCAAGTCCTACAAAATAACAGATGTCTCAAAGAAAATATTTTCCTACCAAGCTCTCTCTTCAAAGCTTCTTTAATTTCCTTGTTCCTGAGACTGTAGATGAGGGGGTTCAGCATAGGGATCACCACCATGTAGAACACAGACACCACCTTGTTCTGGTCAGTGGAGTAGCTGGACTTGGGCATCACATAAATGAAGATAATGGTCCCATAGAACAGAGTGACTGCAGTGAGGTGGGAGGTGCAGGTGGAGAAGGCTTTGTGACGCCCCTCAGTGGAGCGCATCTTCAGGATGGTGATGAGGATGTAGATATAGGAAACAGCTATGACAAACACTGTGACCATGATGATAGAGCCAGAAGAAAATGAGGGAACAACTGCAGTGACACTGACATCAGAACAGGAGAGCTCTACTAAAGGAGCAAAATCACAGAAAAAATGATTGACTGCATTTGGTCCACAGAAGAATAAAGAATAGAAGGAAAGAGTAAAGGAAGAAGCATCAAGAAAACCACCTATGTAAGTCACTACAAGCAACCAGACACAGACTTGTGTGGACATTTTGGTTGAGTAAAGCAGTGGTTTGCAGATAGCCACAAAGCGATCATATGCCATGGCAGCCAGAAGGAAGCACTCAGATGTCCCAAAGAACACAGCTGAGCCAAGCTGGATGCCACATCCAAGGTAGGAGATTGTGTTTGTCTCCACCAGGAAGTTCACAAGCATTTTAGGTGTGACAGATGATGAATAGCCTATATCAGCAAAAGCCAAATGGCTCAGAAAAAGGTACATGGGATGGTGAAGCTTAGAAGAGAGTCTGACGAGAATGATTGTGCTGAGATTACCAGATATGGTCACCAGGTAGATGCACAGGATGACCATAAAGAGGATGACTTGAAAGACGGGATCATCTGTCAAGCCCAATAAAATGAACTCTGTCACTGCAGTGTGGTTCCCATCCATCAGTGAATCCATGAGACAGTGTAGCTGCTGCCAAAACAAACTTGTGATACAAACATTACAGAAAAAACTTTGCAAGTATGATGGCTTCATTTTCATTAAAATATACATGGAGGTTATTATAAAGAAGTGTGTCACTCATGCAAAATTTGTACCAAGGGTTGTATTATATGTTCTACTTCCCAAAGTCTATAAATTTGTGTGTAATGAGTACTTCCATATTTTAAAATTTTTGGTTTTAGTAGAATCATCATGCATAACTTTTTTTCATATCAAATTCAAGGTACTTTTACTTTAATTTACATGCCCAGTCCTTTTTTTTAATTTTTGAGACAAGGTTCAGTCTCAAGGGACTGAACTCGTGATCGTAAGTCTCTGCCTCCCTCGGTGCTGGGATTACAGGTGTACACGACCACTCCCAGCTCACAGTGTGGATCTTTATATTAAGTGTGCCAAAGTGCTTTTAATGCTGAAGATTTTTAAATGCGAGACATGAGCATAACAAAACAGAACTGTAACGATAGCAGAATGGATTAAAATGTATAGCCATAGTATTGTATGATTGACTATTGAATAGCCACTCATATAATAGCTAATAGTTATCGAGTAGTAACTAAATTATGACCACAGAATTACACATTCTATATATATATATAGTTTCATTTTATTTTTTACTAAATAGCATTAAGTTCTTTATTATTCCAATTTATTGATGAGGAAACAGTTTGAAAATGGTAGGTAACTGTCCTAAGATTGCATAGGAAGTAATGAATAAGTATCTAGTCAGATTTACTTCAGTTCATTCCTTTAGTTACTATTCTCTAAATTAAATTAAATAAAGATGATACTGAAGTTGAATACACTTATGAATGGGAAGATAACAGGTAAAAGCTTTCAGTTTTCTCTCAAGTACCTATAAAAGCCAGTGCCTAGTTAATTACATGGTTTACAGTATCGCAGTTAAACACCACCACTTTTTTTAAAAGGAGAAATACAAGTTTCTTGTTAGAACAAGGATAAACAAGAAATAAATTTAAAAGTAAGGTTAGGAATAAAGTTCTTTGTTGTAAATTTATTCAATATTTTAATGTTCTCGATTAAAATATTGCTTTACCAAATAGTTTGAAATATCGATTCAAATATTATATGAATATTCTTAACAAAATTAAAGTATGTTTATTCAAACACATCAAACCATTTCTTAAAGTAACAATGTTTTCTCCTGGAATAAGATAATACTGCCTTCAACATATCTCACAGTTGCATAAAGTTTCAGGCTGACACGTTAATACATTTACCAAGACTCACCTACCTAGGGACAAGATTCACTTTTGTCTCCCAAGACTTTTGGTTTTACATATATCTTTTATCCAAAGTTTCTAGTGCCTCTGATACTAGAGCATTCAGACCAATAATCTCAGCTGGGTTTTTGTTTTGTTTTGTTTTGTTTTTGGTGGTACTGGGATCAAACTTGGGACCTTGCACTTGCAAGGCAGGTGGCAGAAATACTGAGCTAAATTCCCGGCCACTCACCTGGTCTTTTTACCTTTTTACACAATATTTACTGGCAGCAATTCCTCAACTCTATTGAGCTTATTGGTATTGTGGCTACATGGTAAGTTGAGGAACTGTTACCATGAGGGCTTCTGGTGTTATGGATGGGTAAATGTGGAATATTATTAATGGACGTATGTCTGTTTATGCACAGTAACTTAGTTGTGGAA